TATAGTTAGGTAGTCTAAATTAAACTTTCTAAAAAGCAAACAATATGATTTAATATTTTTTAAGTGTCTCGGATTTTTATCCAATCCTCCGTCCACCAACAAGACCCAAATCGGCCAAATTTCTCTACTAGTTTTCAAAATATTATCATATTGGGAATTTATAGTAAGATTGTCAAGATCTTGAATATGTGTAAATGAAGATGTACCAAGAGACCATTGGCGCCATACAAAAATAGCAAGTTGCCCAGTTCGTAGCTCATTATTTAATTCACCTAGTTTCATTAAAAGGTATACAGAAGGAACTAATTTTTGCTCAAACCCTATCACAAAATCATAATCCACTACACAAATAAGATCATTGATTGATTGTAATATACGAAATGTTTGACCTATAGCTAGTATTCCAAGATCTATCTTCGCTTTGTCATTTTGAGAGATGACAACTGACATATTAGAAAAAACAGATGCAAGGCAGTAATAACTATCAGGATGTTCATGTATATCAGTATATAAAACTCCAGCAACTAAGACCCATGCTGGGTGATGATGTACTTTCACAGCAATAGAATTGGATTGGTAAGATAATAAGTAATTATTTAATGTTGTTCATGCCATATAGACACTATAATTTTCTTCAAGGTTTTTGCGCAAATTTTCTATTATTCGTACTTTAACCACTTCTTTTTGCCGTTTTTCATCAGCTAATCCAGATTTAACAAACTCATGAATTTGGTTATATAGATTTGGATGCTGAAAAAGAAGTAGTGGATGACCTGAACTATTATAATTTATTACTTCATGATTTTTGATGAGTATTTTTTTTTTCTCTCTGCAATTTTGAATATATTGAGTATTTCTCTTTAATTTGGCAATTCTATCCTTATTAGCTCTAATTTGAGTCTGAAGGTTGCTTATTTTTATATATGTACTGTCACTCCTCGATATAGTCACACTACTGATATGAAGATATTTTTAAAACTAATAAAAAAAATCAATTTTTTTAATATTAAAAATTTTTGTTATAATTTAATGAAAAATTTTAATATAAAAAAAATTATTATTTTTATATTAGTTTTAAAAATATCTTCATATCAGTAGTGTGACTATATCGAGGAGTGACAGTATCATATTTAAACTGAAAATCTGTTGAAATATTGTAAATTCTGTAAGTTTTTTTTCTGCTATAGTGATTTCATTTATAGCTTGTTTCTGGGCTGCTGCATTTGTGGAAACTTCAGGTAAAGATTCTACTGGATAGATAGTAGGAAGGGAGGGTTCTAAGGTCTCTTCGAGTATATACTTTGATTTTACTGTTTGTATATTACAGTATATAGATTAAATGAAGTGTTCAGATATTTTTTAATTATATTATCGATTTCTAGTGTATTTTTGGTTTTAATTTTATTCCATTTTTGAGTTGCCTTATTACAAACTTTAGTACAATTAGGGGCACCATTTCCTGTTTTCATCATAATACTATAAATATATACATTTGAAAACTCTTGATATTTATTTGCTGGTGAACTATAAATCAGGTTTTTTTTAAACTTTGGAGTTAAAAAATACATTTGACGTAATACTTTTTTTCCATTCTTGTCAACATTTATGCCTTGTTAGTTGCAGAAACCAAGTTTATTTTGTTCACTTGAATTGCCGTCTTCACTATATCTGGTAGATTTATCACATTCATTTTGTCTACCAGAACTACTACCAATCTGTTCAACAGAATTTTCACTGTCAGTAGCCTTTTCTTTGCCTTTGAAAGTTCTTATACTTCTTTCATTGTAAAGATTAAACTGATTATTTATTTTTATAAAAAAAAAAATGTGATATGCAAAGTGAACTATATACTATAAAGCATAACTAGTGTTTTGTTAGCCAATCAAATTGCTAATTTTGTATACATTTATTTGCTTAATTTTTATTGGCTCTTTTATTATATTACCTTGGGGTGGGGGGTAGGTGTTTATAGTAAATTGATATTATGTAATATATATCATTGCCTTTATGTAGAATACTAAATAGACTTCAAAAAAATATTGCGAGACTTTTTGAAATTATGTATTGCTTCGGATAGCTCATTAAAGTTTTTGCAGATTGTAAAGATGAAGATTTTTCTGAACATATAGTGGCTCGATTGAAACAACAGTGAGTACAATGGAAACAACTATTACTTCTTCTATCATTTGTTTTATACCCAAAATATCGGCTCTCAAAATTTTCTTCTAAAATTTCTGGTCTTTCTTATTCACACTTTAGTTAATAGCTAAATTACTATTATTATACATAGTTTGGTGAGACACCAGCATGCATTTTGCGTGAATTTTTGTTATATCAGAGAGAAAATTTTCTTTTCAATCTTGAAATATATAACCACATCAGCGAAATATATTAATGTAAACTTACGCAAGTTATTACGTCCCAAAATATTGTGCAATAATTATGGTCTGGAAATAATATTGCGCAAAATATTGCGAAATATTGTGCAATATATAGCGTAATATTACGAAATATATTACACAAAATAACGAAACTTAAAGCGCAATATTACGCTATGTATTGCGCAATGTTTCGAATTATATCGAAACAATTCGAAATAGATGAAATGCATTAAGCCAGTAAAATATTTATATTATAATAGATAACTACTTATGCATAAGATTTGCTAATCTATTTGAAATTATCAAATACTATTCAATTCATTTCCGGGTATTTCGAAATATTTCGAAATAAATTAAATAAAAATACGAATAATAGGAAATATATTTAAACGCAATAATTTAAAAATAAGAATAATAGAAAATATATTTAAATGCAATAATTATATGATTTATTAGATTTTTTCAAATTATTTCAAAAAAATACCAAATTTATAGCATTTATGTAAATAAACTGAATAAAAATTTTATAACTTAAAATATATTTTAATAATAAATTTATTTAAAATTTTTTTTTTTTTTTTTTTATTGCTTATACGCTGTAAATCTTTATTAGTTAATATGGAACATATTACAATTAGGTAT